GCTGTCGTTGTATGGTTGGCTGTGCTCCGGGCTCTAATTCTATTGGGTGATCGTGCGCCCGCTGAGGTGGCAGTCCCTCGGGTAAGTCGTCAGGGAAGATTCCCGGGAATCGTTTCAACAGTTCCTGTAGTTTCGATGGTACTGCCGCTAGTAGTTTCTGAAAATCACTCAGCTTGTCTGCTTCTTCCACTATCGCGATATCCACTGCGTACACGTCAGCTCCAGCGGCGACAATCCGTTTCATCGTGATGGCGCTGACGTGGACCGTTGAAGACTCAGGCGACTGCCAGCGAGGTAGCTCCACCCAGTTACCGCTACTTCGCACAGTGCAGCTGCCTGTCGTCCAGTCGATTCGCGGGTTGTATCGTCGCAGCCAATCACGTCCCAGTAAAATGTCGTGCCCATCCAATGTCGTCGCGAGCATTTCATGTGTAAACCCGAAATTCCCCCCACGGCGGACTTTTACTCTTTCCACTTTCTCCCGTATGGCCAGCGGTGTTCCGTCAACTAAGCGTGCATCGATCTCTGGTAAGCACCGACTAAGTGTCAGTTGCAGCTTCCTTGCAGTCGCGGTATTAACTAAGCTGTGACTTGCACCTCCGTCTATAAAAATCTTCACTGCTGCTCCTTGTATTTTCCCGTGAATCAGTACTGGGCAATCCGTCGCTGTACCCTCCTTATTCGTCCGAGCCCGGTCGATGGCGTGAATCGGTACTGTGACTCGGTGAGGGTCGGTGAAGTTGGGCGAGCAGGCAGTCTCGTCAGTAGTTGGCCCAACTTCTACTGACTGCTGGCGTTTCCCGGCCTCTGAGACTCTCGCCCCTGCTCTGTTCCACGGCACCTTAGCTCCTCTGGACATTCACTTTTGCGATGGCCCGGCCTATTGCAAGCAAAGCAGCGCCCCTTAAACGGTGCGGCAGCGGCATTCGTCGCAACGGTGTGTACGGTGGCGTGCTCGATCGGTCCCCGAGGACGTTGTCCGTAGTAGGACCCCGGTCTCGGTCGCCGTAGGATGTCGATTTTCTCGGCGAGCGCGAGGATCTCGTTGAAATTCGAGAGCCCGCGTAGCATAATTTCGTGCGATATGTCCGGCTTTAGCCCTCCGACGTAACGGTCCACCCACTCCGCCTCGTGCATATAGCCGACTTGTTCGCATAGTGCGAGAAAGCCGCTAGTGTAATCTTGAACCGACCCGAGCTGCCGCCAAGTGCGCAGCTTCTGACGCGTCGAGATCGAAGCCGCGATCGGCTCGAAACGCGCCCGAAGCCCTGCGCACCACGCATCCCACGTGCTGTACTGGGCTGTCTCGCAGAATGAACCCCAGGTGACGGCTGGGCCCGTGGGCCCGTCTTCGTGCGACGGTGGCTCGTAGGCGCGTAGCGACGTCACGATGACTCGCCACCAGTCCATGGCGGGGCCCCTCAGCAACGAAACAGCATATCGAATCTTCGCTGAGTCCGACTCGACGTAATTGGCGTCGAAAAACACGTTCATCGTGAAGACCCGCGACTGAACCGTCGGACCCCCACGCTGGCTCGGGTCGAAACAGGGCGGACGCTGCGGCTTGAGTGGCATTGGTGCCGTGACGGCGTATTCGCCACTTGTCGCCGCAAATTCCACGTGCCGACGGGACTCATGGGGCTCCCGTGGGCTTGGTGCGGTCCTGTTTCTCTCCATGCCCGGCATCGAGTGAGCGGGGCCTTCACTGGCTGCGCCTGAGCGTTGTCCCACGCTGTCATTCTGTGTCGGTGTGCCGGAGGAGATGACAATCGGCTCCTCCGAATGTGCAGGTGCGTGTGTTGGCGGTGGTGCATTCACTGTCGATTGTTGGCGAGCGGAGTCGCGTTCCGCCGTGAGTGTGGCGATTTCAAGCGCCGATTCTTCGAGTTGGCGCATGAGCCGATCTAATTGCTCCTGTGTCAGTGTCGCGACGTTGAGTTCGGCCATGGCAGGGGTGTCGGGCAAGCTCAGCGAGAGCCTCTGTCGTGGCCGTGCGTGCTTACGAGAGAGCACTACGAGCAGCGGTGCTTGATCGTTGAGAGACATATACCCCCCCCAAAAAACTTGATAGTGGGGAAGCGAAGGTGTGGGTGCGGTCCGAGAGAAGATCGTAGGCTCTGATAACCACCAAGTGTTACGAGTGCAATTGAGTGAGCGAGCGATGATTGCACTATCGAGACAAGATCCAATGAGCGAAGAACTGAGCGAAGAATATATAGCGAAACTACGGTGGTAACGGTAACGTTGGAAAATGGGGTGCGCGACGGGCCTGATGCCGAGGTTTGGGGAACTGTCGAGGTGGAGGTCCGGAGCGCAGGTTACCAGCCGAACCGTGAGGTTGGGTCGCATCGTGAACAGTGGCGGGAATGGTGTCGAGGCGAATGCCGCGAGTGGTAACGGGATGTTGTGGGGTGCTGTCAGTGTTGTACGCGCTGAGCAGGGACGCGAAGGAAGGAAAAGGAATTTTCCTTAACAGGACTTGTCCATAGCATGAAATCTAGCACGGATGAGAAAACTCCTACTCGTAATGTAACGAATATGCGCTGGTTACCTTTTCAGAATACTTCGCGAGCTTTATTACGTGTCAGCACAACGCTGGGCCTGTCCAACCCGTCATCCGTTTCTGTTCGCCACGCCAGCATCACTCCATCCTGCCCATCTTTATGTTTCTCCCTCTACTCCCAGCTGCACCGCATAGAAACGTATTTTTACTTATCTTTAATCCTTTGAACTCCGCAATATTCCCCTTACCTGAATGTTTTCGCGCTTAGGCTGCTTGCTGGGTCTCAAACCTGCTTTCTTTTCGACTAACTTCAGGAGAGCTTTTCTTCGTCCTCCTGTGCTGCTGTGAGCCCTGAGGCTGTGACCTAATATTTTCTTAGCTCACCCTCGTTAATTTTGCAGGGTTAGTGTGGTCAGCCATGGCCTCCATTGCTGCTGTCTCTGCGTCTCTGTCGTCAGTGCAAATCGCCAGCAAGGCGACCGTTAGGGCTAGCGTTGCTTCCAGGGGCATTGCGACTGAGCTGACGTGCGCGCGGGGGTTCGGATGCGAGAGTGTCCGCGTGTCCGCTTGCGGCTCTGAGTTTGCGCGTGGCGATGCGCTGTTCGGCGGCTGCGCACAGGAGATCGAGCAAAACAGCAGCCTTGTAGTCATGGCAGGTGGGTAGAGTCAAATGCACGCTAATGCTGACTTCCAGTCACCTTCGTAGTTTGTTCGAGTTTGCACGTGGCGGTGCGCTGTAGGGCGGCTGCGCGCAGGAGATCGAGCAAAATTGCAGCGTTGTAGTCATAGCAGGTGGGTATAGTCGCGATTACCCTAATGCTGACAGCTAGTCTCCCCCGTAGTTTGCTTTCGTGCCGCTTCTTAAACAAAAAGAGAAGACGCTCGTGAGTCTGATACCAAATGCACAGGCCACATTTGACATTCGACGATAAAAAAAAAACTCCTAACCCCCAAGTCCCCTTCACGTCCTCGTCGAGAAGCCTTCTTTCCTTAAAGATCTTTACTGCACGAAGGTTAATGTGGTGGCCGTTGTCCTGCTCAAACTCCCCTCCTTTAGTTCCTAGGGGCTATCTGAACGGGCATCCATCCCGTGATATGCCGGACCCTCATATTTGCTGATGTGACGTCTGGTGGATGCAGTTGAAGGCCGTGTACTTTCTTCATAGAGAAAGGCTGGTGAATCCTGAGCCGGTTACGTGCCTGCCGAAGCCACTTTATTGAGTTGGAATTTGATGATGCTTTCGTTAACCCGATCCATAAGCACTAGGTTGCCAGCATATCCTCACCAGCGAGTGTGTCTATCATTCGCTCTCTTGGACTTCATGTCCTCAACGCCCTTGATTCTCCCCTCGTTCCTGGACAATTCTTGAGGAGACAAGTCAGCAAGAATAGAATCCATGTTTCTGTCCTTCACTTTCATGGAGCTCTATCTTCTCAGCACCTTGCTGCTTCCATCCTTGCTGGGTAGTGCCAGACATGACCTCTTGAATGTAGCCGATGTTTAGAGTCCAAACTGTGTTCGCTCTTGGCTGTCTTGAAAGTCATGTTCTCAAACTGTGTCATGCTCTTGGCTCCCCCCCACCTCCCCATGCAGTGCCGAAGAAGAGGACCTCTCGGACAAAGACCAAGGTCCGCCGGGCTGTGTGGAAGGCTCAGGCTCGGGACGAGGCTCTCAAGGCTCTGTCCCTTGCCAAGTCAGTGCTTACAGGCCGCTCCAAGAGCTTCATCTATGTGCAAAACGAGAAGAAGAATGCTGCTGAGGAGGGCACTGATGAGGCTGCCTCTGACTAGATATAGGAAGAAAACATATCATTTTAATGTTCTGGTCACATTAAAGCACTCCCAACCCAACGTTCTATATGATGGTGGCATGGAATGGCATCGTATGAAAGCAGAATCGTGTGCACCTCCTGGATGCACTCTGGTTTGAGTGCTTTCTAAATTCTTGAAATAAAAATGTGATTGCCAATTGAGGAGTTCTAAAGGCTGGGGTCACTACCGTATTAACGTATGATAGATATAGTCCGTGGATTGTGAGGAAATGCTTCAGATAGACCTCCTGTCAAAGGTTAGTCAGAAAGAGGAAATACTTGAGCGTACATCTTGATATAAACTCGTAACTACACTCCAGGAATTCGCAACTCGACTACATGTGGCTTACCACCAAGCGCCATGGCCTCAACCATACCAAAACCCATCGGGCCTTGCACCACCTCTGGCAGACTCGTTTCGCTCCCAGCCGAAATGGAGCCCCAGCGTCCCGCTGCACCTTCGACCCCGAACCTGTCACTCGGATGCGCGCCCGCACATTCTCCCCTGCCCCCCTCCCCTGCTGACGTTTGCGCCTGCCCCCCTGCGCCTCCCCTCCCATTTGATTGGAGCGACAGGTCCCTCCCTCCCTCCTCCCATCCCGGCCTTCCTCTTGCTCTCCTCCTGCTCCTCCTTCCCCTCCACTCCTCCCCTCCTCCCCACCCACCTCTCGAGGTTACGTTTTCAGGGCAACCTCCGTCTCTCCTCTTCCCCTCTTTTCCTCGATTCACCATGACGACTTCTCTGAGGAAGAACCGCAAAAAGCGCGGCCACGTGAGCGCCGGCCATGGCCGTATCGGCAAGCACAGAAAGCATCCCGGTGGTCGCGGTAACGCCGGAGGCATGCACCACCACAGGATCATGATGGACAAGTACCATCCGGGTTACTTCGGCAAAGTCGGTATGCGTTACTTCCACAAGTCCATTAACAAGTTCCATTGCCCACACATCAACCTTAACGAGCTCTGGTCGCTGGTTCCCGCCGACGTTAAGGAGAAGGCCAGCGGTGCCGGATCCGCTCCCGTGCTCGACGTGACCAAGTTCGGGTTCTTCAAGGTGCTCGGCGCCGGCGAGCTGCCATCGCAGCCGTTGATCGTGAAGGCGAAGCTGTTCAGCAAGCTGGCGGAGCGGCGGATCAAGGAGGCCGGCGGTGCTGTCCAATTGACGGCGTAAAGTTGACGGCTAGGCAGCGGCTAGGGTTTCGTTCAGCTCGGTCAGGGATCCAGGAGTAGGGACTAGGCCTGCAATGCTGCTGATCGGCTGGTTACCTGTAGGTTACTGGTCGGTTGCTTTGCTTGTTACGAGTTCCTCCATAATGGGTACATATTTCCTGATACAAGATACCGATTCCCTTTGCCGTAGCCCGTGCGTCACTGGCAGCGGCCTAAACCTGCCGCGGCCATGGTGACTGTTCTCAGTACTAGCATCTCATCTTTCAAGCATCCAAGCAATCAAGCATCCTAGCATGTCTGTGCTCCATAAGGTGGGCTGTGCACTCTCACGCTTCCGATTTCATTTTTTCCGCTGGCACATTCTCACGTGGTGTAGGATTCAGAGGGTGAGAGGGACAGGGTGCAGAGAATGTAAGAGAGGGGGCTGGGATGGGATAATGGCGAACTTCTGCAGGATAGGGCGCTACCAGGTAGAGTCTAATAAGTCGTCTGTGAGGTGCAGTTGTTAGTGTTGGTGTTCTGCCGGCTTGTGGTGAAGGCTGGCCGTTGAGGGGTTTCTAGGAAGGTTCAGGCAGAGGAGTGGGCAGGTAGGTGGGTCGAGCAGGATAGGGGACAGTGGAACGAGTGCTCTCGTCGGGAACACGAATATTTTACTTGCAAGCGCGGGGGTACGGAAAGGTATGCAGAGGTTGGCAGAGGTCGCAGAGGCGGATGGAGCACCAGACAGGCGAGTGGACAGTGCGGACGTGTGCTTTTTTTCTTTCTTTCTTTCTTTTTGAGGTGCATGCCAGCAAGCGCTGAGCACAGTTCTATGAAAAGAGTGATATACGGTTGGGAGGGTATTGGTACGGTTGTGTGAAAAGGGTGTGGGGTGGTGTTAGGGATGAATGCGCGTAAGTGAGGATGGGTCTCGACTTTGGACGTCGTTAGGGTTGCTATGGGGAACCCTGTGTGCCGCCTTTTTTTTCCCTTAGCTCTCTCCTTTCGTCCGTCCTCCCTGTACCCTGCTTTTGTCTACCCCGAGCGCCTGTGCTCTCCATCTCCTCACCTCAACCCCCTCCCCCCCCCCCCCCCGTTGCCAACCTCAGTGTCACCTTCTCGTCCTCGGTGTCTAATCCCCTCACTTTCTCTCCCTGTTTCCCTCGTTCCTCTTTCCTTCTCCTCCCGCCTATTTCCTTCCTTGCTCCCTCCCTTTTCCTCCCTTTCTCACTCCTTCACCCGTCTCTTTGTTTGTCCCCCCTGTTTCTAGCCACTCCCACCTCTCCGTGATTTCCGTCCCTTTCCTTTTCTTTGCCCCCTTCGGTTCCTTGTGTCCTCTTTTCTTTCCCCATCTCACTTTCTCTTTCCCCACCTCACTTTCGCTTTCCCCACCTCACTATCTCTTTCCCCAACTCACCGTTCTCCTTGTCCCTCCCCGTTTCTTGCTACTCACTCACCCGTTGTCGTGATTCTTTCCCTTGTGCCATTCTATCCTTTCTCTGTGTTCTGTGAGTGACTCATGGGTCTCTGTTGGTTGGGTGTTGGGCTGTGGTTCTGCGTTAATCCTGGATTCGAGTTGATGGAAAGAGAGGTGACAAGTTACGAACATCTGGCTCCTAGTTAGCCTTCGAATCATTCATGGTTAGGGCACAAGGAATATCCTTCCTAAACAGTTTCAACCAGCTCAATTTTGTGATAAACAGAGATCTAGTTGTGAGGTGCTTCTGTCTGCCCCAAACGAGCCACTCGCAAGCGAGAGAACTGACACTAGCAGCTTTTTGCGAACTTGGTTACTCTCGCCGACCAACAAGCCCACACCTCTATTCGATGACTGCGTGTGCCGTAAAGGCGCGCCCCTCCTACGACGTCTGCGACAAACTGCTTGCTTGTGATTGCGTCGCGAAGCGCCAGCATCAAATCTCCAGTTCAGCGCTTCCTTGCCAACCTCATTTGGCGGGCGACATGGCAAACCCAAGGAAAACGCGTAGTCTGCTTCGCTGTTAGCAGCCATGGCAGAAGGGAAAATGGCTAAGGTGGTCGTATTTAGTCGGTTGCTATGTTCTTGCTTAGTCATCATTGTAAATGGCCAGTCCTCTTAGTTACGCCCTTCTTATCACGACTCTCCTTGCCACTGTGACGACGGCTCGCTATCTCCACCTTGTTCACCGTAAAGGCTCCGCAAGAATTCAGTATTTTACGGATGACCCAGAGGTTTGGGGGAGTCTGGGCGTCGGAGCAACAGCTTGGAGGCACGGAAGGAGATCGTTTGTCGGTAAAACGCCTGCTCAGGTGAAACCCGCGAATCACTTTGACCCGTTGGATCCAACAGAGCTTGTCGAGCTTACTCTAGTGGATGGTGATAATGCGACGTCACAGTCCGACTCGGAAGACATGGTTGAGTCGGATACACCCGGGGAAATAGATTGGGAAACGATTCTCCCGCTTCATCGTCCAGCGGAGATTGTCGTCTCAAGTCGAAATCAGAAGGAACTTTTCCTGTATGACGTGAATGGACGTCGTAGCAACGCGTTGACGAATTACCAGGACAGCCTCTCGGACGACGAAATTATTCCTGAATCAGAAGGTGAGAATGAGGACAATGGTTTGAATAATAGTCGTTTTTCCCCGCGTGAAGAATTGATTGGAGAATCAGGCTATGTTTCAGGAGAAGCGTCGGATGAAATGCCAACGACAGATGAAATGGCTGAAGAAGAGGAGACCGATTTGTCTGAGCTTGTGGAATGGAGAGTACCCACTGGAAGTCGAGGAAGCACAAACAGACAGGGGATGCGTGGTAGCGAAGCTACAGTTCAAGCATCTGGTACACAAGCGGACCAAGATGAAGATTATAAGGAGGATCGCGATTCCGAGAACGCTGTTGCAGTGGATGCAATGGGAACTGTGATGAGTTCCAGAGAAAGGAGGGGTGTCACTGTCAGGATTGCGAAAGATGGGGATTTGGACTATGAGGACGTCATCAGGGCTGCACATGACATCAGCATGGAAATCACAGGTGATGTCAGTCTGGCTGGCATTGGGACCACAAGTGACTATGAAGATGACTGGAGGGAGGAAGCTGCTCCATCTCTTCAGGGTTACCGATACCAGTATGACAGCACTGGGGAGCAGGAGCACAACTTTCACAATATCCCTGGTGTTTCGGCTCCTGGTGCTGGCGCCGGAGGCGAGGGAGAGGACTTTGATGAATTTCAGCAGGGTGCTGGTGGTCAGCCGTCCACGCTGGCAGCACGAGGTGTTGATGAGAGTGGGGCGAGTAGAGCAGACAAGCAGGGCCATGGCAAGCTGGTTGCAGAGCAATACCGGTACGAGGACAGTGATAAGGTATTCCATCTGGAAGCAGCAGCAGTTGTTGACAAGAGAAGCAGGGGAATGGGACCATGACCAGATGAGTGTTAGACCAAGAACAGAGGATGGTACCGGTATTGGGGTGTTGCCGCTGCTCAAGGGAGAGGCAGTATTGCCTGCACGCACTGACAACTGGGGCCTCCAAGAGAATCCTCTGAACGTCTCTGTTGAATGACTGACAGGTCAAACCGACAGCTAGCTGGCCCCTCAAACGTTTCCATCTCACCCTAGAGGTTCCATCCCACCAGGGAGTTTCCAGCCTATCGGATTTTGGACGTGACCACCTCACCCTGAAAGGCCTTTATTGTATGAGCCAACTAATCAATATTGTGCAAGGGCTAGCACCAAATACAGTACAATTTTTGCCATCATTTGCCATCACGTAGCAGAAGCACTACAGAAAAAAACGCACTGAACATATCACATTTCTCAGTTTTAGTCCTGCATCCCTCGAGCAGCAGTCAGTACCAGGAGCCTCTCTTGCGCACGTCCAGCCCATACTCCTTCAACAGCGCCTCGTCCTGCCTCCACTTCTCCTTCACCTTCACCCGAATCTGAGCAAGAGGGAGGTGGAGCAGAGATGGGGAGAAGTGCGGAGAAAGCATGGTAGAGTTAGCGGGGAGGAGAAGGGAGCAAGGGACGGAGGTGGGGATGGCGCAGCACTGCACCTCTCGACCGAAGGAGTTATTTTTCCGGGTTTCAAAGCACCTGCCTCATGTCTTTCGAGGCATCTCCAAACTCACCTTTCTCACCTCCGGATGGAGGCACTGCCTCCTCTTTCTCACCTCCAGGAACACCTCTCGCCCCAAAATCTCCTCAATGTCCATCCGAGCTTAGTGCAAAAACCCTGACAGCCAATCTCCACCACCCATCTCCACCCATCTCCACCCTGCCAAAGCAGCACGCCTCACCTCGAGGAACACCTCTCGCCCCAGAAACTCCTCTATGTCCATCCGAGCTGCAGTTGCCAGTGCCTTCAGCTGCTTGCCTTCCTGAGGCGCTCGCATTCAAACGAGAGATGGTGGACGGGTGGATGGGGGAGAAAGGGGTGGGGGAAGGAGGGACAGGGTAGGGAGAGACGGGGGAGGGAGGGATGGTGGCGGAAGTGGGGAAGTGAGGGAGGGATGTGATGGGAGCATGAGATGATGGTGGTATTGTGATGACTTTTGAGACGTCTCAAAAGATAGTGGTATTGTGATGCATGAGATGATTTAGGTAATCTCTAGGTGCAAGGGCTTTTGAGGCGCCTCACACCTTGTAATGGAAACCGTCAGCCAAATGACGTTCTGGTGTTTCCTCTCCCTCCCACCCAATGATGATGCTCATTTTACAGTAGCCCCTTTTTTCCTCCGTCCTCACTTCCCCACTCCCTTGCTCCCTCACTCCATCGCTCCCTCACTCCCTCGCTCCCTCACTCCCTCGCTCCCTCACTCCCTCGCTCCCTCACTCCCTCGCTCCCTCACTCCCTCTACTCTTTCTGCACCTTCCCCAGAAGAATCGCCTTTTGGCTGTCCCGTTCAACCATGATACCCTCCCTTCCTCCATCACTCCTTCCTTCTCTCTCTTTCTTTCACTCACATGCGCATACACCTCTTCCCCCTTCTCAGCTCACCTTTCCAAGAAGAATCGCCTTCTGTCTGTCTCTCTCAACCATGATGTCTAAGCTGATGTAGTCCCGTGAGGTGTCTCAAAAATTCACTTTTTACACTTAGCCTTCTCCCTCTCCCTCTTCCTTTGACCCACATGCACATACTCTTCAACCCTCACACCCCTCACTCCTCACACCTCACCTTCCCCAGAAAAATGGCCTTCTGGCTGTCTCTCTCAACCGTGATATCAAGACTCATGTAGTCCTTTGCCTTCTCCCCTCTCCCTATACCCCCTCACCCCTTTTGGCTCACCTTCCCCAGCAGAATCGCCTTTTGACTGTCCCGCTCCACCATGATATCAAGGCTGATGTAGTCCTTTGCCTTCTCCCTCTCCCTGAACGCCCTCACTGTCACCTGCCATTAGATAAGTGCCAGGTCAGATGTGCCATTAGATAAGTGCCAGGTCAGATGTGCCATAAGATAAGTGCCAGGTCAGATGTGCCAGGTCAGATGTGCCAGGTCAGAAGTGCCAGGTCAGAAAGTGTCATGAGTGCCATGCGATCAGTGCCATGCCATCATTGCCATGTCATGCCAAAACATTGTAAGATTAGAAAAAGGCCCCATTTCCCTAACCCCACGCCTGCCCAGTGCCCCATGTCCCATGCTCCGTGCCCCCTGCCCCATGTCCCATGCATGCACCCCATGGCCCATCCCTCAATCCCCATCCCCCATGCCACCTACATGACCCCTATGCCCATGCCTTGACCTGACCCCACCCCCTCGCCTCTTGAACCCACCCAAACCCCTCTCAGTGCACCTGGGAAGCACACGGCACTTCTTGAGAGGACTGTAGCAGAATCTTCTTCCTCACTATCTCTGAGCCACGAAGCCCTGACCCCCATGCCCTGACCCCCATGCCCTGACCCCCATGCCCTGACCCTCATACCCCATGCTCGTATTCTCACACACACCTGGCAGGCGTACGGCACTTCCTGCGAGTACTGCAGCAGAATCTTCTCTCTCACTATCTCAGCCACGAAGAACCGCTCTGGCAGCTCGCTCACCACGTCCTGGGAGGGGTGGGGTGGGGTGGGGTGGGGTGGGAGGGGTGTAGGGTGGCATGGCATGGATGGTTTGGCTGTGGTGCTGTGGTATCTTGAAGCACCACGAAGAGCCGCTCTGGCAGCTCGCGCACCACGTGCTGGTCAAAGAGAGGCGTGTGTGGGGGAGAGGAAGGTGCGGGGTGGGGTGCGGAGAGGTGTAGGATGGCACGTGGTACAGCTGTGGTATTCTCACTAAGGCGCCACAAAGAAATGCTCTGGCAGCTCGTGCACCACGTGCTGATGGGAGAGATGTGGGATGGCATGGGAAGGTGTGGGGTGAGGTGTGGTGGGGTGCGGCATGGCATGGGTGGTATGGGTGTGGAGGTGTGGTACTCTGCCGTGCTGCAAAGAAATGCTCTGGCAGCTCGCGCACCACGTGCTGGTGGGAGAGGAGGCGTGTGCCGTGTGTGGGGTGCGGCGTGGGATGGCCTTAAAAACCGTAGGTTGCCCTCACTTTGCCCTCACTTTGAGGTACCAAGCCAAAATTATCTAGAAACCGTAAGGCAGATCTCTGGTCACCTTGGGGTAGTAAGCAGGGCCTTGGGGAATGTTATCCAGCATCTACGCCAGCAGCCCATGCACCCACCCTCCCTGAGCCTATATTCCAAGACTAACTCTCTCAGCAGGAGCCTTGAGAATAGTCAGCGGGCATCCTCTCTAAGCACCTAGAGAGCAGAGCTCTGAGAAGACAAGCAGTGATCTAGTCACCTTGGGGTAGTAAGCAGGGCCTTGGGGAATGTTATCCAGCATCCATGCCAGCAGCCCATCCACCCCGTCTCCCCTCTTGGCACTCAGCGCAATCACCATGTGGCCGTCCGCTGCCACTGCGTCTTGGTACCACTGCAGTCATCACAGCGGGACAGAGGGAGAGGAGAGTAGAGGAATGGTGGAAAGGCAAGGCATACGTTTGGTTCACAGACTGGATTCCGAGGCAAGGCAGGCACTCGGAGCAATCACCGTGTGGCCGTCCGCTGCCACTGCCTCTTGATACCACTGGTGGGATGGAGGAGGCACACAGGGCGTGAGAGGAGGGTGGGCACTTAGAGCGATCACCGTGTGCCAGCACAGCAGCCCATCCACCCCGTCGCCCCTCTTGGCGCTCAGAGCAATCACCGTGTGGCCATCCGCTGCCACCGCCTCTTGGTACCACTGCCGTCACACACACAGAAGAGGAGGAATGGTGGAAAGGCGAGGGAACGACCACAACACATTGGTTCACAATCTGACGCCCATGGTGCTCATAGCCATCACGGTACTGGCTGGTGCTGACTGCTACTGGTTGGTACTGGCTGGTGCTGACAGTCTCGGGTACTGATTGTCAACTTCCCTTACCTTGAGTTTCTTGGCCACTTCCCCCGGCTTGAGCGAGTCCTTCTTGTTCAGCACTATGAGGGTCCAAACCCCATCCCATCTGCTCAAGTGCCCGGTTTCTTTTGAGAATTCTCAAAAGCCACTTACCTTGAGCTTCTTGGCAACCTCCCCCGGCTTGAGCGAGTCCTTCTTGTTCAGCACTATGAGGATCCAAACCCCATCCCATCTGCTCAAGTGCCCGGTTTCTTTTGAGAATTCTCAAAAGCCACTTACCTTGAGCTTCTTGGCAACCTCCCCCGGCTTGAGCGAGTCCTTCTTGTTCAGCACTATGAGGGTCCAAACCCCATCCCATCTGCTCAAGTGCCCGGTTTCTTTTGAGAATTCTCAAAAGCCACTTACCTTGAGCTTCTTGGCAACCTCCCCCGGCTTGAGCGAGTCCTTCTTGTTCAGCACTATGAGGGTCCAAACCCCATCCCATCTGCTCAAGTGCCCGGTTTCTTTTGAGAATTCTCAAAAGCCACTTACCTTGAGCTTCTTGGCAACCTCCCCCGGCTTGAGCGAGTCCTTCTTGTTCAGCACTATGAGGGTCCAAACCCCATCCCATCTGCTCAAGTGCCCGGTTTCTTTTGAGAATTCTCAAAAGCCACTTACCTTGAGCTTCTTGGCAACCTCCCCCGGCTTGAGCGAGTCCTTCTTGTTCAGCACTATGAGGGTCCAAACCCCATCCCATCTGCTCAAGTGCCCGGTTTCTTTTGAGAATTCTCAAAAGCCACTTACCTTGAGCTTCTTGGCAACCTCCCCCGGCTTGAGCGAGTCCTTCTTGTTCAGCACTATGAGGGTCCAAACCCCATCCCATCTGCTCAAGTGCCCGGTTTCTTTTGAGAATTCTCAAAAGCCACTTACCTTGAGCTTCTTGGCAACCTCCCCCGGCTTGAGCGAGTCCTTCTTGTTCAGCACTATGAGGGTCCAAACCCCATCCCATCTGCTCAAGTGCCCGGTTTCTTTTGAGAATTCTCAAAAGCCACTTACCTTGAGCTTCTTGGCAACCTCCCCCGGCTTGAGCGAGTCCTTCTTGTTCAGCAATATGAGGGTCCAAACCCCATCCCATCTGCTCAAGTGCCCGGTTTCTTTTGAGAATTCTCAAAAGCCACTTACCTTGAGCTTCTTGGCAACCTCCCCCGGCTTGAGCGAGTCCTTCTTGTTCAGCACTATGAGGGTCGGCTTCTTTTGCACCACTGCACTCTCCATCCCCTCTAGTAGCAGCTTCGATACCTGCATAAGGAGCACAGAAAGGCCTGATAAGTCAATTCTGAGGGCCCATATGGACCATCAGTCCACATCCTCCGCAGACCACACATGCTCATACTGAGGAAAGTTAAATCAGATTAAAGCTACGTTTGAGGAAAAGCACAGCGCACCTCTTGAGGCGCTTGGGTGCTATGAGGACAAAAGCGTCCGAATTGACAGTGGTGATGCATGCCTTTAAGATGGCTGGACGCACCTCTTGGGGCGCCTGGGTGATGTCTATAACGAGGACAACAGCGTCGGCGTTGACTGTAGCAGTGCGCACCGCCTGCATCATGAGCTCGTCCAGCTTGTGCATTGACTTAGAGAGCACCCCGGGCGTGTCGTACAGAATGATCTGTAAGGGAAGGGGGGAGGGGGAAGCAAGCACAAACACAAGGGAAGAAGGGAGGGGCACAGAACAAGGGGGAGGCGGGGAGGCACTGCCTGCATCATGAGCTCATCGAGTTGGTGCATTGACTTGGATAGCACCCCGGGCGTGTCGTACAGAATGATCTGCAGTGGTGAGATGACAATGGAGGGGACACAAGGGAGGGAGGGACACTGCCTGCATCATGAGCTCGTCCAGCTTGTGCATTGACTTGGAGAGCACGCCAGGCGTGTCGTACAGAATGATCTGTAAGAAATTGGGTGGGAGAAGAGAAGAGCCATGGGGCATCCTTAGGTCATCTTTTATCACGAGGTCTCAGCAGGGGCATCATGGCGTGCAGGATGATTTGATGGCAAAGAAGGGGAGGGGGACCCAATTGGAAAAGGTAATGGAAAGAGAAGGGTATTTTTTAGATTTCTCAAAGATACACTTTTTGAGAATTCTCAAAAATACCCTGAAAAGGTAATGGAAAGAGAAAGGGCACAGCATGCATCATGGGATTGGTCCCGCTTGTGCTGCGTCTTGGATAGCACGCTGGGTGTGTCGTGATAATAATCTGCAAAGGAGAGGGGAGGGAGGGGGTTGGGGGAGTGGGGAGGAGGGGTGCGGAACAAAGGTAATGTGAGTGTACAAGGGAGGCAGGGGCACGGCCTGCATCATCACGAGATTGACCAGCTTGTGCTACGACTTGGATAGCGTTGACTGTGGCAGTGCGCACTGCCTGCATCATGAGCTCATCCAGCTTGTGCATTGACTTGGACAGCACGCCAGGCGTGTTGTACAGAATGATCTGTAACGAAAGGAGGGAGGAGGGAAGAAAGAGCGGACTCCAGGGAGGGGCACAGCGTGCATGCATTATGAGGTGATGGAATGGAGCTTGTGCTGCGTCTTTGAGAGCACGACGGGAGGACCTCCCTTTGAGAGCATGACGGGAGGACCTCCCTTTGAGAGCACGACGGGAGGACCTCCCTTAGAGAGCACGATGGGAGGATCTCCCTTAGAGAGCACGATGGGAGGACCTCCCTTAGAGAGCACGATGGGAGGACCTCCCTTAGAGAGCACGATGGGAGGACCTCCCTTAGAGAGCACGATGGGAGGACCTCCCTTAGAGAGCACGATGGGAGGACCTCCCTTAGAGAGCACGATGGGAGGACCTCCCTTAGAGAGCACGATGGGAGGACCTCCCTTAGAGAGCACGATGGGAGGACCTCCCTTAGAGAGCACGATGGGAGGACCTCCCTTAGAGAGCACGATGGGAGGACCTCCCTTAGAGAGCACGATGGGAGGACCTCCCTTAGAGAGCACGATGGGAGGACCTCCCTTAGAGAGCACGACGGGAGGACCTCCCTTAGAGAGCACGACGGGAGGACCTCCCTTTGAGAGCACGACGGGAGGACCTCCCTTTGAGAGCACGACGGGAGGACCTCCCTTTGAGAGCACGACGGGAGGACCTCCCTTTGAGAGCACGATGGGAGTTTTGAGACGTCTCAAAACCTTTGAGAGCACGACGGGAGGACCTCCCTTTGAGAGCACGACGGGAGGACCTCCCTTTGAGAGCACGACGGGAGGACCTCCCTTTGAGAGCACGACGGGAGGACCTCCCTTTGAGAGCACGATGGGAGTTTTGAGACGTCTCAAAACCTTTGAGAGCACGATGGGAGTGTCCTACAGGATGATCTGCTTGCAAGGACAAGAAGAGAGGGGGGGGGAGGGGAGGAAGCAGGTAGAAAACGAAGGGACAACACCTACAGAGAAACCTGTTGGGTGGTACGCAGCTTCTGTGCGCTCCACGCCTCCCAGTATCGATTTTTGAGGCGCCTCTGAAATCGTCCGCAGCTTCTGTGTGTGCTCCACGCCACGCCTCCCTATATCCCTTCGAACCCTCCCTGTGTGCAGACATACTCCCTTCCCACCTCCCCACTCGCCCCTCTTCACTTCACCTGGTAGGCAGGGGCAGAAACGAGTCCCAGGATGCGGTGGTGGGTGGTCTGCGGCTTCCATGTGTGTGCTCCCACGCCCAATCACCTGGTACGTTTACTGAACACAACATTCCCTCCCCACCCTTCTCAACCACCCACCTGGTACGCGGGCGCGGAGACGAGCCCCAGGATGCGGTGGCGGGTGGTTTGCGGCTTCTGAGTGACGATCGACAGTTTCTGCCCGATGAGTCGGTTCAGCAGTGTGCTCTTGCCCGCGTTGGGCTGCCCTATCAACGCCACGTAGCCTGCGGTGGTAAGAGCGGTGCGGAGGGGTGAGGAAAGGTGAAGTTCGGTGAGGGAAAGGGGAGGCGAGTGTGATCAGTCGGTTCAGCAGCGTGCTCTTGCCCGCGTTGGGCTGCCCTATCAGTGCTACATAGCCTGGGGGTGAGGGGAGGTGAAGAGTGGTGGAGAGCGGTGAGGAGGGGTGAAGGGGAAGGAGAGGCGAGTGGGAGAGGGAAGAGAGCGTCTGCCCGACGAGGCGGTTCAGCAGCGTGCTCTGCTCTTGCCCGCGTTCGGCTGCCTTATCAGCTCCACGTAGCCTGGGGGGAGTAGGTCGGACGGTGAAGGAGGAGGAGGAGGAGGAGGAGGAGGAGGAGGAGGAGGAGGAGGATTAGAAGGATTAGAAGGAAAAGGATGAGGAGGAGAAGGACGAGCAGGAGGAGGATGCATGCAAAATTGATTTCACCGATTAGGGTAGTAACTTCCAATCACACACTACGTCTCAAACCCTCTGTCCTAAACCCAGGCACAAAAACCCCTTCAAGTTGTCTCAGCAGCACATTGCCAACACTGCGGCTCGTCATCATTTCGACGGTCGTCCGGCATTTTGGGCACTAAATCACTCCTTCCCCCCCAAACATTCCCCAACATTCCCCTACATTCCCCCTCGACCCCATTCCCCCGTCCGTGTCTCTCCCCTTACCCCCCCCCTGCCTACCGCTCTTATGGTCGTCCGGCACTATGGGTACTATTCGTCTGGGCGGCCCCGTTAGTAGCTGATCCACTGCCGCCGCTTGCGCGCTCGTCTGCGCGCTTGATCGTTTCCCGTCCGCCCCGCCGCTCGCGGCGCCAGTCGCGGAGGACGCGCCGGCTTCTAGAGCGTCCTGCGTAGCGGTTGCAACATCTTCTGCTGCAGCGGCGGCGGCGGCGGCAGCAGCAGCAGCGGAAGCGGCGGCGGCAGCGGCGGAGACGCGCGAATCGTGGCGAAGAACCTTCGCGACGTCTGGCGATTGTCGCGGGTTCGTGAAAATGAAAACGGGCTCGTCTGAATCGTCGGATGATCCGGCTCCAGCAGCAGCAGATGCCGCTGCTACTGTATAGCTCTTTCTGTCGCGTCGGTAATGCGTAGACGATGTTCGTCGTCTTTGCGACGTTGACGGTGACTGCAAGCTCGTTGTCGAAAACCCGTTTTGCGAACTAGTCCAAGCGCGACACGAGGTTTTCGATGTTCGCAGCCGGTCGGAGCGAAATGGTAACCCTACGATGCGTCCATCGCTGATCGCAGCGCCAGAAAGGGTGACGCTCGGTGAAACGGATGATGATGCTCTCGACACGTCAGACTGAAGCGGAGATCCGCATGACACGTCAGATTTCTGACGAGACGATATTCCCGGAGGAAGCGACGACGACACGCCGGTAGCAGCAAGACCTAGCATTTCGACTCGCCCGGCGCTTGACCGGGATAACTAACAAATGCGCCTTGCTTCTTAGTTTCTCCTGGGATGAAGGACTAGAACCACTTCTGGTGCTTCGCTAGGGACTCCAGCTCAGTATTTTTTATGGTGAGAGAACAGGTCTCTTTGCATCCGCGTTAGAAGAAGTATCTGACCCAGCTATACTGCATACGCTGGGTGCCTGGGCAACACCCGAATTACTCAACGGAAGTCAACGCTGGAAAACAGGTTGGGTAAGTAGCTTTGGCGGGGGTTCTACTAGCGAGCCTGCGCTTTCGAGGGAACTACATTGCTAGTTCCGGGCACTTTCCGCCCCTCTGACCCTCAGACAGGTAGTTATGTCAAAAGCACAGAACTCGGTCCCACATTCACCCACGTGTCACAAATTCGAGAAAATTAGAGAACGCAGGGCAGAAAAAAATAAAACCCATAGGGAACCTGGACTCATTTTCCGAAGGGATCAACCCTAAAACTTTCTTTCCCGAAACCAGTAGGAGCTAGTCACAAACTGGCGTCAGTTTGTGAAGGCCTTAAGAGTAAAAGATCTCATGTGTAACACAATGGAGTGCGAGATCTTTTGTTGCGATGTTCTGCCTCTCATCACTTGCCAGGTTCGCTGCGAGGCTGTGACTGCCAGTCACCGATTTCGATCAGTTTCGCACGTGCTCCCCGTCAGCAATAAAATCACGAAGCCCACCATCTTGTTGTCGGCAATCGTCTTCTTGCCGCTCAGCCGTCGCCGTTCGTGGGCATCAACCCTTCAGCAGTCTTGCCACGTGTCCTTCACAAACCCAACGGTACCAGAGCATGGACGGTCACAATGTAGAGCCACCTCAGCACCAGCTCTCAAGCCGCGACTGAATCGCGTCGTGTTTATTTGAAATGTCGAGTCGCATTTCGCGCAAAATGTCAATTGCACATTTGTCAACAGACGTTGGGGGAGTGGGAATTGCTTCACCGAACAATGACAAGTTCGAAAATTCGCCCGCATCATCTCGAACGTTCCTCTCCTTCCCACCACCTCCGAACGACCACTACAGTTTAGCCTCGTACCGTACCTTACCACCCTAAAACTCCTAACCCATGTGTTTCTCCTCCCACGCTTCTTTGTCATAACCATTTACTAGTAATCCTTATTCGCGCCCATATTTGCCTCACTGCTTCCACGATTTGAGCAGGTCGAGCGAATCTCACCCAGCCAGACAGTTGTTTGCGGCCGAGTAAACGACAGCACCCAGCACGCAGCGCACGATTCGATCTAGTCGTTGCATCGCAGCTCAGCACACCACGCCACACGGCCCCTCCATCCCACCCGCGCCACTAGCACCATTGCCCACACCCACTGCACTCCTCTAATGTTCAACACTTACTTGCCGTAGTGACATCAGATGTCTTAGCGCTTTAGAATGCTCTAGCTGTCACCATAGGTTATCACTCGTCGCTTGTACAGTGGCCCCTTGGGAAAGATAATCGCCCTGTAATAGTTAATCGCTTCACCGCGACGCCACACGGTTGAGTGAGAGCAGTCCGCATAGCAGAAATTTCTAAGACTGCTTACGGCCAACAGGAGTATCGGTCTGCACGGCCTGGTGCAAGACAGGTAGCGGGCAAGAAGATATAGTTATTGACCGGCTTGCTCTCATGACTCGAGCCAGCGCGAATACCCTACCAAGGTGCCGACTGGGAGCCTTCACTAGCTAGAGTAGTTACCGCGCTAACAATTGCCTCGATAACCGCAATGAGACGTCGTGTGATTGACTACTAACGACTGCACCTAGGATTTAGCCGGCATGTATTCGCCGCGCGAACGCGGAGAAAGCCATCGAGGCTTAACTTTCTAGAAGACGCTCAAACTGGATATCGTCGATTCAGTCGGATCGCGCAAACATGAAGACGCTTCGAAGCTTGGTCGCGGCGCTAGTACTATCGTGTATATGCATCCTTTTTCTCCTGCCATCCTACTCTTTAGCCACGTCAGATGATCTCCTTCCGGATATTCCACGTCCACGTGGCAGCAGAGGAAGGCCAAAGCTCTTTAAGATCCGAATACGATCGCCCAACAAGCTGCCCTTCACTTCCTCAAAGGTTTCGCGCTTCGCGAATCCCGGTGGCGCCAACAGGGGGATAGGCCGTTTTCCGCTGCCCTCCTTTCTCGCCGCATCTTCCGCCGCATCCTCCGCCGTTTCCTCCGCCGCCTCCGCCATCTCGTCCCTCCGCCGCGCTCTTTTCAGCCGACGGAAAGCAGCACAAACCGACGCTGAACCTTCCAGGAAACCGGGCGACCATCCGAACCTAGGCCACCACCATCGGATCACCACAACCACCAGATCAACGGCTGAGATTGACGGGGGAGCCGACACCACCACGAGCGAGCCGCAGGGTTTCGGCATTCCCAAGGGTTTCGACATTCCCAAGGGGATGCACGGGCCGTTCACGGGGCACCACCCGCGCCTCGGCCACCACACCGCCTCTGTTGGGCACCACTGGTTCGGCGGTGGCCGCCACTCGGGGGCGGGCGCCGCCAGCGCGGAGCGGCGCGCGCCGTTCGGCGGAGGGCACCATCCGCGGAAGGCGGACGGGACTTTCTTGTTCGGGCACCACCCGTCGGGCGTGGGGCATCATTTAAAGCGCGGGCAGAAGTGCTTGGGTAACCAGACCGTTTGTCTCATCTTCGCTAAGGAGAACCCCGGTTTCGATGTCTGCTGCGGGTGAGTACAGTACAACACGCAGTATACCGCTGCCCTTCCTACCCCCTTTCTCCCTCATCCCTCCGTTCCTCAGTCGCGCCTGTCGCAACAGCGACATGTTCCACTGCGGCAACTGCCTCACGGCGTGTCCTTCTGTCTCCCCTCCCTCTCCCTTTCTTCCCCCCCGTCGTCCTCCCCTTTTCGCTTTCCCCCCGTCAGGCGCGCGTGCCGCAATCTACGCATCGACGTGTTCCACTGCGGCAACTGCCTCACGGCGTGTCCGACCGTCTCCCCCCTCCCTCAACCTCCCTCTCCATCCTTCTCCCCTCTTCCCTTCCTTCCCCTTTTACCCCCCCCCCCCCCCCCCCAGGCGCGCGTGCCGCAATCTACGCAGCGACGTGTTTCACTGCGGCAACTGCCTCACGGCGTGACTAGCCTTTCCCCTCCCTCACCCTCCTTCCCCCCTCGCTACCCCTCCTTCCCATCCCTTCTGTTGCTTCAGACGCGCGTGCCGCAACCTACGCAGCGACGTGTTCCACTGCGGCAACTGCCTCACGGCGTGTCCGACGGGCCACCACTGCTGCGACGGCGCGTGCGTCAGCATCATGGACGATCCACGTCACTGCGGCGGCTGCTACAACACGTGTCCTGCTGACTCGGCGTGCCAGCTAGGAATGTGCGGATACGGCAGCAGCAGCGGCAGCAGCAGCAGCAGCAGTGGTGGCAGCAGCGGCAGCGCTGGCAGCAAAACTGGTGGCACTGATGGTACTGGTGGGTTTAGTGGGGTTGGTATGGGAGGTGCTACTACTAGTGGTGAGGCGAGAGGCCGTTATAACAGTGCTGGCGGATTCAGCAGTACCACCATTGGCGGCAGTGGCAGCGGCAGCGGCAGCAGTGGCAGCAGCAGCAGCAGCAGCAGCAGCAGCAGCGATGATTATGGTGACTTCAAGGTTGCTGACAAGCCTGGTGGCTCTGCCAGAGACAGCGGCGATACTGATGGCAGTAGTGGTGGTGATGGTGCTGGTGCTAGTGGTGGTGCAAGTGATGCTGATGCTAGCGGTGGTGCTGCTGATGGTGCTACCGGTGGTGACAGTAAACGGAGCAGTGCTGATGCTGCTGATTCCGAAGGTGCCAGTTTCAAGAGTGGTTACAGCAGCGACGGCAGGCTTGGCACTGTTGACGCGCAGAGCAGCACCGGCACCACCAATTTCAACACCAGCGGCAGCAGCAGCAGTAACAGTAACAGTCACAGCAGCAGTGGCAGTGGCAATGGCAAGACAGGGGTAGGAGGTGAGGGAGGGGGAAACGGGGAAGGGAGTGGAGAAGCAAATGGAACTGAGGGCTCGGAGGAAGTGTCTACTGTTGATAAATCAGGGAAGAGTTCAGGAGAAAAGTCAGGGGAGGAGTCAGGTGAAAAGCCCAGAGAGAGTGGTGACTCGAGCGAGCACACGAGCGCGCTTTGGCCCGAACTGGATGAGGCTTCAGGTGGGTCGTCAGGAGAATCCGCGGGGTCAGGAGAATCTGGGGTTTCAGGTGAAACTTCAGGTGACGGTTCAGGAGAAAGTTCAGAGGGCGATGGTGCGGAGGAGAAAGCAGGAGCGGGGGAGGGGACTGAGGAGGGGAGCGAGAGTGAGGGAGGGAAGGGGAAGGAGGAGGGGAGCGAGAGTGAGGGAGGGAAGGGGAAGGAGGAGGGGAGCGAGAGTGAGGGAGGGAAGGGGAAGGATGCATGGAAGGAGCATGTGGGAGGGCGCGTGGTGGATCTAGACGAGTGGCAGAGAGGTGTTCAGGAGAGCAGCTATCATTTGAAGATGACGAAAGTGGGACAGGGAAAGGCGAGTGAAGGGCAAGGGCACTCACATGCAAGCAGCAAGAGCAGCACGGGCAGCGAGCGTGGCGGGGGCAGGGGCAGCAGCAGCAGCGGCAGCAAGGGAGGGGTGCAGGAGAGCAGCTATCATGTGGAGGTGAGCCAGGAAGGGAAGGGGAAGGCGAATGAAGGGCGAGGGCACACGCATGCAAGCAGCACGGGCAGCAAAGGCGGCAGCAGCACCAGTGGGGGTGGTGGTGGCGGCGGCAGCGGCAGCGGCGGCAGTGGGAGCGGCAATAGCAAAGGGGGGAAGAACGTGTTTAAGATGAATACAGAACGCAAGAGCAAAGCTGCTGGGGCAGGGCAAGAGGCGCGGGGGAACAGTGGTGGCGGTGGTCATGGTGGGAGTGGCGGCGGCGGAGGGGAGAAGAAGAAGCAGCCGAGTACAAAGCAGGTTGAGATGAAACAAGAGCACGAGCATGAGCCGCAGCAGACGGTGGAGGAAGCGGCGCAGCAGGTACAGAAGGGAAAGGAGGAGGAGAAAACTGAGCAGCAGCAGCAGCAGCAGCAGCAGCAAGCGGGAGAGAAGGATCAGGAGGGAAAGCAGCAGCAGCAGAAGAAGGGCGAGGGGGTGAGGTTTGAGGACGAGTGGCAGCAGCTGTTGGCCGTGGCAGACAGCAGCAGACTCGCCACCCACGCTGCTGCTACTCATGCAGGCACGGGCGGGAACAGTGGCGGCAGCAATGGTGGCGACAGCACTGGCGGGACCCACGCTGCTGCCCACTCACGCAGGAGCAGGAACGGTGGTGGTGGCAACGGTGGTGGTGGCAGCACTGGCGGCACCCACACTGCTGTCCATGCGGGCTCTGGGGGGAACAACAGTGGCGGCAGAACTAGTAGCAGCAGCAGCCGTGGCACCCGCGCTGCTGCCCATGCGGGCACGGGTGGGAGTGGGGGTGGGGAAGGGCGGAGTGCGGTAGAGGGAGGTGCAGCAGTTAAGGAGGGATGGACGCCGATATCCGCGTTGATTGCCATGCAGAGACGCATAGAGGCGGGGATACCATGGCAAGGAGCGGATGGGAACCACCGTGCTGCCGGTCAGGGTGCTACCGCTGCTGCTGCTGATGCTGCTGATGCTGGTGGCACCGGTGGTGCTGCTGCTAGTGGTGGTGGTGATGCTGGTGGCAACGGTGGTGCTGCTGCTAGTGGTGGTGGTGGTGGCACAGCTGAGTGGTTGGGAGTTCACAGCGGTATTAGGCAGCACACGGGGCAGGGCCAGGCGGGGCATGGGAGGCATGGTTGATGCTGGTGGATTAAACGAGCGGCATGCTCACCAACTGCATGTATGTTCTCAGCACACACTAAGAAGACATGTGCATGTGCATGTGCACTAGTGCAGAAGTCTTGAGAATTCTGTGTGGTTGCTTCTCGAATACAGCCGTCCTCGAATTCGTTCCTGTGTGGTTGCTTCTGCCCCCTCTCTTTCCTTCGCTTCCCTGCCTCGTTGCTCTCCCCGTTGCACTCCCGTGTGCTCAGCTCTCCACTCTATTCCCCTTGTCCCTCTTCCTTGTTTCCCAATACCAGACCTGCACTACCACACCCACCCACACCCACATACAAACACGTCGATACGCCATGAGAGCTTTAGGCGAATGAGACTCATGGTGCTGTGGCATGGATTGAGAGTCAGAGATGGTTTGAAATCCTCCTGTACTCTATATAGTGGTCCTTCGTATACGCTCAACTGTTTGCACGTGACAAGACCAACTAGGTGCGGTTTTGTGGTTAAAGCTAACCTGCTAATTTATAATGCCGAACTGTGTACTGTCTCGCTGCACTGTGTGCGTCAGTAGCTATTAGCACATTCAATTGGCCACTGTCTTCTGATTCTAGTTTTTTTTTTTTTTTTTTTTTGGTTATAATCAACTGTGCTGTACCACAAGCCCCAATATCCGTGCCACTAAGCAAAATGCATTACATAGCATTGATCAGGTACACCACCATTGCGGAATAACACTACACATCCTGATTAGCTGCAGCTGCAAGGAGGTTGTTCTTAACGAGGACAGCAAAGTGGGCCATCTGGGCAGGGGAGTAGAGCGGGGTAGGGTACACCAGGAGCAGCTGCAGCGCTCCATCCTGTCACAGGGAGGGCGAGTCCAGTAGATACATTTTGAGGGGAGGAGATACACACAAACAGGGTCTCCTTTTTAGGCACCCCAAAACGGAAGACGAAAAAGAACGAGAAAAATGCATGGTGTGCACAAACAAACAAAAGAGCCCTGCGGGCATGGGCAGCACACCTTGATGAAATCAGGCATGCCAATGCAGGCCCCGATGCCGTGACTGGAGACTAGAGGCCCCATCATTCCGTCCAGCTGCAGCTGGGCCAAGTCCCCGCCAGCAGCAGCGGCACTGCTGCCACTGGTGGTACCGTTGGTGGTGCTGCTGTTAGTGGTGCTGTGTGGTGCAGTGAGGTCGACGGGGAGAGGGCCGTCGGTGAAGGCGGTGAGGAAGGAGGTGCGCAGGGAGTGCTCTGGGCTCAGGGAGGGCGTATTGAGCACCTGTGAGGGAGGGGGTTCGGAGAGAGGACAGTGGTTAGTAGTGCTGTGTGGTGCAGTGAGGTCAAAGGGGAGTGGGCTATCAGCGAAGGAGGTGCGCAGGGAGGGCTCTGGGCTCAGGGAGGGGGCACCTGTGGTTGGGAGATGGGTGGGGGAATGAGGGAGGCGGAGAGGGGACAGGAGGAAGGCGAGAGAAAGAGGAAGGTGGTAAGGAAGGAGGTGCGCAGGGAGAGTTCTAGGCTAGGAGGGAAGAGGAGTGGTGGGAGTACGCAAGGAGGGGGAGGATCTTGGGGCAAAGATGGTCGTGAGGAAGAGGACGGAAACAGAGGCAGCAGATGCAGTAAAACCATTGGCTTATGCAGTTTTGAGGCGCCTCAAAAGAAATCACAAAGAAATCACTCACTGTACGAAAGAGAATCTCCAGCACGGGCAGCTCCGAGAAATGTTTTCCCTTGCTGACCGCAGTCGCCACCTGCTGCGTGAGCTGCCCGGCATGCCCCACGGGGAGGAGGCGTGCGAGCAGGAGTGCCTTAGGGGCAGACCCGAGTCAAACACCCCGATGGCCGAAGGTGAGAGGGGCGGGTCGCAGTGCTGACGACAGTCGATGAGGCTGAAGGGGGGAGGGCAGAGAGCGAAGGGAGGGAGGTAGAGGGGAAAGGAAAGGAGTGGTTGAGGCAGACCCGAGTCAAACACCCCGATGGCCGAAGGTGAGAGGGGCGGGTCGCAGTGCTGACGACAGTCGATGAGGCTGGGGAGTGGGGGGGTTGGGGAGTGAGTGAGGGGGTTGGGGAGTGAGGGGAAAAATGAAAGGAAGTGAATGAACCAGTGCGGGAGAAGAGGATAGGGGCCGTGCGAGCAGGAGTGCATTACGGGCAGCCCCGGGTCGAACACCCCGATGGCCGAGGAGGGGAGGGGCGGGTCGCAGTGCTGACGACAGTCGATGAGGCTGGAGGGGGATGGGAAGGAAACGATAGGAGAAACAAGGGCGAGATGTGGAATGGCCACAACAAAAGAATGACGTCTGGTCGTGACAACGGTTTTACATTGCGGTGCCGCGAGGTGCTGTGAGTTGGTGCTGTGAGGTGGTGTTGTGAGGTGGTGCTGTGAGGTGGTGCTGTGTGGGCCTGAGCGGGGCACCCACCTCGTGACGCTGAAAGACTCAGGAGCAAGGACAGGAAGAGGAAGGTGGAAAGCAGGAGCAGCAGAAGCAGCAACAGAAGGGCGAGGGGGTGAGGTTTGAGGACATGTGGCAGCAGCTGCTGGCCGTGGCTGACAGCAGCAGACTCGCCACGCACACTGCTGCTGCTTCCCATGCTGGCAGGGGTGGTGACAGTGGCGGCAGCGGCACTGGTGGAAGCCACGCCGCTGCCCATGCAGGCACTGGCGGCAGCAGCACTGCCGGCACACACGCTTCTGCCCACACTGGCAGGGGCGGGACCAACCGTGGTCATGGCAACAGTGGTGGCAGCAGTAACGGTGGTGGCAGCAGCAACGGTAGTGGCAGCAGCAACGGTGGTGGCAGCAGCAACGGTGGTGGCAGCAGCAACGGTGGTGGCAGCACTAGTCAAATGCCTGATTCTGATGATACTGGTGCCAAGGGGCAGGAGGGGTGGACGCCTGTGTCTGCGTTGATCGCCATGCAGAAGCGCATAGAGGCGAGGATGCCGTGGCAGGGGGCGGATTGGGACCACCGTGCTGCTGCTGCTGCTGGCAACGGTGGGGATGGGGGTGGTAAGGCCGGTGCCGGTGCCGGTGCCGGTGCTGGTGGTGATGGTGGTGGTTGTGGTGGTGGTGGTGGTGGTGGTGGTGGTGGTGGTGGTGGTGGTGGTGGTGGTGGTGGTGGTGGTGGTGGTGGTGGTGGTGGTGGTGGTGGTGGTGGTGGTGGTGGTGGTGGTGGTGGTGGTGATGGTGGTGGTGGTGGTGGTGGTGGTGGTGGTGGTGGTGGTGGTGGTGGTGGTGGTGGTGGTGGTGGTGGTGGTGGTGGTGGTGGTGGTGGTGGTGGTGGTGGTGGTGGTGGTGGTGGTGGTGGTGGTTGTGGTGGTGGTGGTGGTGGTACTGCTGGTGGTACAGCTGAGTGGTTGGGAGTCCACAGCAGCGGAAGGCGGCACACGGGACAGCAGCGGCAGCAGCAGCAGCAGCAGCAGGGGGGGCATGCGAAGCATGGGTGATGCTGGTAGATCAGACAACAGCGTCGCAGAGGCTAACTGCTTGGTATGCATGTCTATGTGCATGTGCACAAGTGTACAATTGTGCATGAGTACCTGGTTCTATGCCTCTCATTCCTCTCATCAACTCATCCTGCTACGTTTTCAACACCTTCTCTTTTTCCTTATTTGCCTTCCTCTGCTTCACTGCCTCATTGCTCTCTCGTGTGCTCAGCTCTTTACTTACTCCCCTACACCCTCTCGTGTGTCCCTCTCTGTTTCCCCATAACAGGTTCTATTTACACATTCACCTACACCCAAACACGAACACGCCTATACGACACAGGAGCTTTAGGCTAATGACTGGTGATACCCTGCCATGGATTGAGAGTGAAGTGAGGTTTTGAAACTCTCTTGCACTCTATGTAGTGGTCCTTAGTATACTTTCAACTGTTAGCACACGACCATGTAGCTGTGGCCTTGAAGCTAATGCTTACTTGCTAATTTATATTGTCAAAGGGTGTACTGCCTCGCTGCATTGTATGCTTCAATAGCTAAACACACATTACATTTGGCTGCTGTCTGTGTTGATTCGTTTTTTCCCCGTTATTGAAATCAAATGTGCCACTGATTGCGATGCATCACAAGTATTGATCGGCAAGACACCAACTTAAACTACACATCCTGGTTAGCTGCAGCTGCAAGGAGGTTGTTCTTAACGAGGACAGCAAACTGGGCCATTTGGGCAGGCGAGTAGAGCGGGGTAGGGTACACCAGCAGCAGCTGCAGTGCCCCATCCTGTCACAGAGGAAGAGGGAGGAGGAAAAGGATAGAATCACCAATTAGACTGCAACCTTACAGCTCCTCTTGTTTTGAGTCGGCTCAAATCACCAATAAGACTGCATTCTTACAACTCCTCAAACAGGGAGAGACAGAACAAACGACATTCTTGGTGTGTGCGTGCAAGCAAAACAGCCCTGTGGGCATAGGCTACGCACCTTGATGAAATCAGGCATGCCAATGCAGGGCCCGATGCCGTGACTTGCCACCAGAGGGCCCATCACCCCGTCCAGCTGCAGCAGAGCCAGGTCACCGGTACCATTGCTCGTGCGGTTGGCAGCGGTGCCGTTGGTAGCGCCATTACTAGTGCCGTGTGCAGTGGTGAGGTCGAGGGGGAGTGGGCCATCAGTGAAGGAAGTGAGGAAGGAGGTGCGGAGAGAGTGCTCTGGGCTCAGGGAGGGCGTGTTGAGGACCTGTGGGGAGAAGGAGGTGGGGGGGGAGATGACAGTGGTTAATAGTACTGTGTGGTGCAGTGAGGTCGAGGGGGAGTGGGCCATCAGTGAAGTGAGGAAGGAGGTGCGGAGAGAGTGCTCTGGGCTCAGGGAGGGCGTGTTGAGCACCTGTGGTGGGGAATGGGTGGGGAAATGAGGGGAGGGGGGATGGGAAGAGGGAAAGGAAGGCGAGAGAAACAGGAAGGCGGTGTGAGGAGGGAGGTGCGGAGGGAGGTGCGGAGGGAGGTGCGGGAAGGGCGTGTTGAGCACCTGTGGTGGGGAATGGGTGGGGCAAGGATAGCGGAACCTCGTCGACGTAAGTGCCTGTGGACTTCCAGGATGCCATCTCGGCATCCATGGCTGCCTGCCACTGAGAGGAGTAAGGACCCGTAATCGCCTCTGCGTAAGAGCGCGGGGTCGGGATGTCAGGAGCATCCGGGTCTCCCTCAGGGGCAAGCAGCAAGGAGGCGAAACGAGGTACAGCAGCTGCAAGACACTCAAAGTCCTCCTGCCTGTCCTCAAGGACGTCCGTGCCAAGAGCACACTCACCCCCGACGGACGGAGGACTGAGGAAGAGCGAAACAGAAGCAGCAGATGCAGTGAGACAATTTGATCATGCACCTGTGAAAGACATAGACAAAGAGCCAAAAAAACTACATTGGATGTTATTATTGCTATTGTCCCACCAAAAAATCACTGGATGTTTCTATAGCTGTTGTTCCACCGAAAAATCACTCACCGTGCCAAACAGCATCTCCAGCACGGGCAGCTCCGAGAAATGTTTTCCCTTGCTGACCGCAGTCGCCACCTGCTGCGTGAGCTGCCCGGCAATGTCCCAAAGGGAGGAGGCGTGCGAGCAGGAGTGCTTTAGGGGCAGACCCGAGTCAAACACCCCAATGGCCGAGGGGGCAAGGGGCGGATCACAGTACTGGCGACAGTCGATGAGACTGTTGGGAGTAAAGGGAGTGGAAGGAGGGAAACGGGAGGGAGTGCTTGAGGGGCAGCCCCGAGTCGAACACCCCGATGGCCGAAGAGGGGAAGAGGGGTGTCGCAATGCCGACGACAGTCAATGAGACTGGAGGGAAGGGAGACAGAGAAAGGAGGGAAGGAGGGGGAGGGGACAAGACGGAGTGCTTTAGGGGCAGCCCCGAGTCAAAAACCCCGATGGCCGAAGAGGGGAGAGTGGGGTCGCAGTATTGACGACAGTCAATGAGACTGTTGGAATGGTAGAGGAGGCAGAGAGTGGAGGGAAGGAGGTAGAGAAGAAAGGAAAGGAGTGGTTGAGAGGCAAACCCGAGTCAAACACCCCACCTTGAGCGCAGCTGCACACTGCATGCCATACAGATGGTGCTGTGATGTGCTGTGCGGTACTGTGAGGTACGGTACTGTCAAGTGCTGTGAGGTGGTGCTGTCACCCACCCACCCGGTGACGCCGAACGACTCATCCTTCTTCAGCTTCAGCTCCTCTGCAGCTTCCTTGAACGCAGCGGCACACTGAACGCCATACAACCGGCTTTGCCGTTAGTTGGTGCTGTGAGGTACTGTGCGGTGCTGTGAGGTGGAGCTGCGTGGACCTGGGCCACCCACATACCTGGTGACCCCAAACGACTTTTCCTTCTTCAGCTTCAGCTCCTCTGCAGCCGCCTTGAGCGCTGCAGCATGCTGCATGCCGTACAGCGAGGCTTGACAATTGCTGGTACTGTGATGTGCTGTGCGGTACTGTGAGGTGCTGTGAGATGGTGCTTTTTTGGCCCAAGCCACCCACCCACCTGGTGACGCCAAAAGACTCGTCCTTCTTCAGCTTCAGCTCCTCTGCAGCCGCCTTGAGCGCCGCGGCACACTGCACTCCGTACAGAGAACTACCCCGCGCCTCACATGCTGCCTTAAGAGCATCAGTTTCTGAATGGACACAGGGGGGGGGAAGTTGCGAAGAGGGGGTATGGGTAAGGGGGAGAGTGAGAACCAGTTTTTCCTAGAATCAGCTTAGGCGGGCTGGAAGGGCAGCATTGCGGAGTGGGAGTAGGCAGCAAGGACCCCTATGGCATAGCCCACCCTACGGCCCACCCTACGGCCCACCCCATGGCACCCTAAACCCAACGGTTTGAGGAGGCTGTGCTAGTGTTGGAGCAGGGGCTGACAAACGAAGTGCATAGGAAGAGAAGAAAGAATTGGAAGGGCAGGTAGCACTCATGCTCAAAGTGCATAGAGCGCCACCTGGCCCTGTCATTCTACCTTGTTAGCAAGGAATGATCCCTTTTTTCACTTGCCAGCCTCCGCCCAATAGGAGCACAGCTTCCTCGAACCTTTGCACTTCCCCCCTTCCAACCTAGGGTTTTTGCAGGAGTCAGCACACACCCACCCAACTACGCACCTTGCTGGAACAGGTGGATGGGAATGATCTCAGAGCGGAAGTGGTTCCTGCGGGAGTCAGCACAGCCCGGCTGGAAGGGCAGCACGGCGGAGTGCGAGGAGGCCGCATACCCCACGGCGTCCACCATCTTGGTGAAGAATCCCTTCGCCTGCGCGCCCTTGGGCATCAGGGAGGAAAGAGACGGGGGGAGAGACACTCCCGTGCTGGGCCTGGGGGAAATTGAGGGGAAGAGCGGACCCAGGAGGGGCAAGGGGATGGGGGGAGCAGAGGGAGCAGGGGGGGCAGAGGGGGGGGAAAAGATGGGAGAGATGAAGAGGGATGGGAGAGCAACATAGAGGGAGCAGAGAGGAAGGCACGGGCGACACTGGGAGCAGAGAGAAGCAGAGGTAGCAGAGAGAAGCAGAGGTAGCAGAGAGAAGCAGAGGAAGCAGAGAGAAGCAGAGAGAAGCAGAGAGAAGCAGAGGTAGCAGAGAGAAGCAGAGGTAGCAGAGAGAAGCAGAGGTAGCAGAGAGAAGCAGAGGTAGCAGAGAGAAGCAGAGGTAGCAGAGAGAAGCAGAGGTAGCAGATAGAAGCAGAGGTAGCAGAGAGAAGCAGAGGTAGCAGAGAGAAGCAGAGGTAGCAGATAGAAGCAGAAGTAGCAGAGAGAAGCAGAGGTAGCAGAGAGAAGCAGAGGTAGCAGAGAGAAGCAGAGGTAGCAGAGAGAAGCAGAGGAAGCAGAGAGAAGCAGAGAGAAGCAGAGGTAGCAGAGAGAAGCAGAGGTAGCAGAGAGAAGCAGAGAGAAGCAGAGAGAAGCAGAGGTAGCAGAGAGAAGCAGAGGTAGCAGAGAGAAGCAGAGGTAGCAGAGAGAAGCAGAGGTAGCAGAGAGAAGCAGAGGTAGCAGAGAGAAGCAGAGGTAGCAGAGAGAAGCAGAGGTAGCAGAGAGAAGCAGAGGTAGCAGAGAGAAGCAGAGGTAGCAGAGAGAAGCAGAGGTAGCAGAGAGAAGCAGAGGTAGCAGAGAGAAGCAGAGGTAGCAGAGAGAAGCAGAGGTAGCAGAGAGAAGCAGAGGTAGCAGAGAGAAGCAGAGGTAGCAGATAGAAGCAGAAGTAGCAGAGAGAAGCAGAGGTAGCAGAGAGAAGCAGAGGTAGCAGAGAGAAGCAGAGGTAGCAGAGAGAAGCAGAGGTAGCAGAGAGAAGCAGAGGTAGCAGATAGAAGCAGAGGTAGCAGAGAGAAGCAGAGGTAGCAGAGAGAAGCAGAGGTAGCAGATAGAAGCAGAAGTAGCAGAGAGAAGCAGAGGTAGCAGAGAGAAGCAGAGGTAGCAGAGAGAAGCAGAGGTAGCAGAGAGAAGCAGAGGAAGCAGAGAGAAGCAGAGAGAAGCAGAGAGAAGCAGAGGTAGCAGAGAGAAG